AGAAACTGCAGCTTTGGACTTTTCTGAATGCAGTAACACTTTCAACTTGACATGTTCTTTGTAGGTACCATGAAAGGGATAATTACAAGAGATTAAACTACTAAGAGACATGGGCCTTCTAAACTTAAGTAGGTATCTCTGCATTGATCCATGAAAATGATCATTCTATTAAACTTGGAGTTTCAAAGTTGATTGCAAGGATTAAGAAACAACTATTTATACTTTTCTGCCATAGCAAGTTTCCTGTCCATGGTACTCGTGGGCTGTGGTTTGGACTATTCTGGTTTTAAGAAATTGAATGTCTGTCTAAGTCTCAGAAAAGTCTTTTTTTTTTATTACTTTTTCAAATTACTGGTATATTTGAATTTAAATATGCTATATGTCTATATCTTTTATTTGATTATTAGGCACTTATGCATGCTTTGAAAAACTACACTGTGCCTCACAAATATATACACCTATACAATTTAGCGTTTAATTTGTTTTGCCTGTTCAGCACAATATCTATTTCTTTCCTTTGGGCTTATCTCTTTTTCTCTAATTCTGTGTTTTTCTACATAGTTGTTTGATACTTGATTTGTTTTGTTCTTTTCTGTTTTTCTGTTGTTGTTTTTCCGATAGGGTGGGCACGCTTGCCAGAATGACAGACAGAGACAGACAAAAAGCGAGAAATCACCTGCAGGGAAGTTGGTCACAAGCAATTCTTTCTCCTCCTTTTCTCCTCTTGGGATTTTGAGCATGCATGCACACATGCCCAGCATGAGTTTTAAGCTTCTGGATCTGGAACGTGAACCACAGGCGACTATATGGGATTACATGTAACCATTATGCCATCTGCTGGTCATCTGTTCTGGTTTGTACTACTTTAAAAATACTTGCGGAAGTCTATTTTGAATGAAATGAGTCTAACATATACTAGACTAGGCTTTCTTTAGACAAATAGTAGCACACCTTAATGCCTTTGACCATGCTAGTCCTAAATCCTATGCTGTTTTAAAATTCTGTTTTAATATTTTACAATACTCAGGATATTATCATTAATCTGGTGGTCAATATTTATTCAGATTTACCAAAATATAAATTCTGATTCAATTCTCCATTCTTCCTCCCTCTTTTAAATCTCATCTCTTTTGTGTGAGTCAGTTAAGAATTCTATAATATCTTCCTAGTTTGAAATGCTTTGCTTTATTATTTTATTATGTTTTTCTTCAAACTTTATTTAAAGAAAATTTTTATTTATTCTATGAGAGAGAAAGAGAAAGAGACACAGAGGCAATCATCTCCAACAGGGTACCCACTTTGTGTTCCGTATGTAGTCTTGGTCTGCCTTAACCTGAGCACACATATGCAAGCCACATGATCAGCATGCTCAGGAGGGTCCCAGTGTGAACCTACTATCTTTCCCATGTTAATCAAACACCACCACCATGGCACTACCAACTGGCCCTTTATTTTATTTTAAATAGGAACTCCTGAACTTTTTCTCCATGTTACTGAAAATTTGTAACATTTGACGAGCATCTCTCAAACTACCACCAGGAACCACCAATCTACCTTCTACTTTCCATGACTTCAACATTTCTAGATTCCAGAAGGTAGTGAGATAATGCAGTATTTGTATGTGGGCGCAGTATTCATATGGTCTGTCTGGACTGATCATCTTCTGTCCTTAGTGGAGGCTCTGGCTGATGCTCGTATGCCCCAATCACCACTTCCTGCTTCTGGAATGTCAGTGTTTCCTTGTCACAACCTCATACACTTCATATGTCTAACTATGCACTTAACAGTCACTTACCTCCTTATGTTTCTAGTTCCTATTTCATAATTTCTTTCAGGAGAACCTATTCTTCAATGTAACTCAATTAAAATCAAATAAATTCATATTGTTTTCTGTCTGAAAAATTCTGTCTATCAAAATAAACCATTGTGCTTTCTGGCAGCTACTGCAAACATGAGACCTTATTTAGGTCATTGTGCTCCCTGAGCCCTGGAAGATGACTTATTAAACCTATGGAATAATTGGCCACCTGTGTTTATTTCACCCTACAGCCCAGCAACTGGGGACTGGTAGTTTTTAAGGTAAGAGCTTCTTATTTTTTTTCCCCTAATATCGGCATCAAAATGAAACATGTACCTAGTAAGTACAGTATTCCTACTGCCTCCATGTGTTGGCTGGAGGTGCCTATTCCTGTTAGTACTTATATTTTGGAGAGGCCATCTTTGAGCCAATCAGCAACCACGTCAGCCATTTCCTGGCTAAAAGACAAGATAAAAGCGTGAGTTATTTTTTTCTCACAGAGTCAAATATCTCCTTCTGGAAAATTGTTCTTGATGTCTTCTTAGTACTCTTTTGGACACCAAAGATCCATAGTACCATAGTAAAAGGTAAGCTTGCACAAAGTTCCTTTGGGGCTTCATTCTTTCTCTTTACCACCTCCATCATATCTTGGTCCCCAAGGTAAACAGCATTACCAAGGCAGAAATGTTCTAATACGTTTGTAGTTAAAAAAAGAAAATGGTCTTTAGTTTAGTTACTTACATGGCAATTCCTCATAGCCAGGACTTGACTATCTCAGGACATGGTTCCAATAATTAGTAGCAAGTAACATAGAGAACATAGCTAAACCAGCACAAAACCTTGCCATTGAGTGACTCAGACAATCACTCAATTGTTGGAAAGAGCAGAAAAGAGTGAATTACTGGGAGCTCAGGGGCATGCTTCAAAATCTGAAGAGAAAAATAGCATCCCATTGAGTGGCCAGGGAGCACAAGCTTCATTTCCTTTGGAATATGAGTTCTCAGGATACTTAGTTTGTGTTCTAGTTAACCATGTAATCCATAGATGCCCTTAGTTTCTTGAGCATTTGGCTCCTCTGATGTAAGAATCTTCTTGTCTTTGGGAGCTAAGATGTGCACAGCATGACTAATAATACACACTGGAAAGTGTCTGTTCCTCAAAGAGTACAAAGCCTTTGCAAATGGCACATAAAATCTAAAAAACAAAACAAAACCAAGCTGGATTACTAGGAATAATGAAAAATAAGTGACTTAGGCCTGCTGACACCTCGATCACTCATGAGGTCAGTCCAGGAACCATATTTTAGACCCTGGATCTTAACTCCACCACACAAAATAAATTCCTCATGCACACAGTTTTTTTCCTTGATTTCTGAGTCCATTTCTAAGAACCTAAGGTAATTCAGCTGCAAGCCAATGTTCTATTAACAAAGGACAATGTGTTGTGCTTACATATCATTCAAGTGTGATGACTCTACTTTCAGTCTCAGCCTGTCTGTCTAGAAGGTGGTGGGTTCTCTCTGAGAGTCCTGAGGAGACTCCAGCTATATCTTTATCTCTTTTGATTGGAGAGTTTAATCTAATTACATTCAAGATTATATATTTATTGGAGAGTTTAATCTAATTACATTCAAGATTATATATCATTAGGTAGATTTTAACACCCATCATTTTGTTGGTTGCTTTCTGTTTTTATGTGTGTGTGTTTTCTTTTTTTAACGTGTTACTCTGTTACTCTTATCTATGTTGTTTGGCAGTTTTCTATGGTGTTAAGGTTTTAATCTCATTTTTGTAATTGCTCTACTTATGAAATTTATACCTTTGCATGGTTTTATGATATATACCTTCCTTTTGCTTCTCTTTGTAGAGGTCCTTTTGGTATTTCTTGAAGAGTCATTCTAATCTTTATGAATTCAGTATTTGCTATAGGGCGCATGTGCTCACCAGAAAGAGAGATAGGAAGTGCAAAATCACCCCCCAGGGGTGATGGCCATGCCTCAATGCTTTCTCCTTCATTCTCCTCTGGGGATTTTGAGCACGCACGCACATGCACCTGACATGAGTTTAAACCACTGGATCCGGGACTCGAACCACAGTCGGCTACATGGGAGTTAAGTGACATAGCCATTATGCTAACTGCTGGTCCCCATTTCTTCTTCAGTTTTGAAGAATAATTTTAGCAAGTATAATATTCTTGACTGGAAATATTTTTTTTTTCAAAGTTTGAATATATCATTCTATCCTTTCCTAGCCTATAAGGTTTCTGCCAAAAACTCTGCTGTTAGTGTGATGGATAACTTTATATGTGATTGAGCACCTTTCTCTTGCCATTTCGACATTATATTATAATGTGCCTTGAAGCGAACTCTTTTATATTAGATCTCTTTGATGTTTAAATTTCTTGAATATAGAGACTAATGTCTCTCCCTAGATTTGGGAAGTTATTAACTGATATTTCATGAAATAGGTTTTCAATGCCTTTTTAAAAATCTCTTCTTCTGAGATTCCTATAATGTAAATATTTATTTGCTTACTAATATCCCACAGAATGCAATATTTTCTTCATTTTTAGAATTTTTTTGTCCAACTGGATTCTTTCAAAAGTTTTGTCTTTGAGCCCAGAAATTCTTTATTTGACTTGGTTGACACTGTTATTAATGCTTTAAACTGAATTCTTTAGATTCTGCATTGATTTCTTTAAGAAAAAAACTTAATATAGAAAAAGCTAATACTATTACTACATAATTTAACTTATACATAACATATTTTTAAGAATTATTTCATTTAACTTTTTAATTTATTTTAATTTGGCAAGAGAGGGACAGAATGAGAGACAGAGAGAGAGAGAGAGTGAGAAAGCAAACTTCTGGGCCTAGAACCACAGTTGGCCACTTCGGAGTACAGTGACCTTAAACCACTTACTCCAAATAACATATATTCTTAAGTATTATAACTTTCTTTTCTTCCCCAGGGAAATGAATAAAATGTGAAATTAGAAAAAGAAACATCTTTTTATGAAATAATAATTTTTAATTTCAAGGTTTTCTTGAAAAAAGATCTGAATAAAGATAAGATCAGGATGCAATATTAAACATAATTGAGAAGGTCAATTTGACATTGTAAGAAAGAAACAATAATGTAAAAGAAATAGAAAAAGTTTAGAGAACTTTCTTCATTGATTTTATTCTGATTCATTGAAAGTTCTATTTCTTTAAGAGAAATGTAATTCTCTGTATAGAGTTATTGAAAGCTTCTTTCACTTGTTTGTTTCTCAAGGTGTAAATGAATGGGTTCAGCAAGGGCGCAACAGAAGTATTGAGAACTGAAATTCCTTTGTTTATGTTCACCTCTTCCTTTGCTGAAGGCTTGACATAGATGAAGATGCAACTTCCATAGGCGATGGCAACCACGATCATGTGTGATGAACAGGTGGAAAAGGCCTTCTTTCTCTGCTTGACAGAGGGGAATCTCAGAATTGTTCTGATTATGTATGAGTAGGACAGAATCACACAGACCAGGGTGATAATGAGTGCAAATATAGCTGCAAATATAACCAGCTGTTCTATCACCCATGTGTCTGAGCACGAAATCTTTAGGAGGGGACCTGCATCACAGCCAAAATGATCAATGACATTGGAGTCACAGAATTCCAGCTGGAGGCCCATACATAGTGGTGTGATGATGATCATCAAACCAGAGACCCAACAGCTGAGCACAAGGATGGTGCAGACTCTGTTGTTCATGATGAACATGTAATGAAGAGGCTTGCAGATGGCAACATAGCGGTCATAGGACATGGCAGCCAAGAGAAAGAACTCTGTGGCCCCAAAGAGAATAATAAAGAATATTTGACTTACACAAGAATTGTAGGTAATGGTATTGTCCCCAGTTGAGATACTGTACAGAAATCTAGGAATACATACTGTGGTAAATGAGACTTCCAAGAAGGAAAAATTTCTAAGGAAAAAGTACATAGGCGTTTTAAGGTGGGGGTCCACCAGTGTGAGGGTGATGATAATCAGGTTCCCTGTTACACTCAGCATGTAGGTGAGAAGTAGAAAGACAAACAGCAGAACTTGAAGTTGGGGGTCATCTGTCAGTCCCAGCAGGATGAAAGTTGTTATTGCTGTGTGGTTTGTCATTTCTGCCCTTGATATATGCCTAATCTTCTTGTGAAAAATCAAGATCTATGAGCAGGTGTACATTAAAATCCTAGTAAAAGACCCTACACATGTAGAAGTCAAGCAAACCAGCTGTATTTATTTTCTACATTTATATCATAATCAATATTGCCCCTTAGCTTTCTTGTATAGATCCCGTAGCTTTCTTGAATTTCACAGATATGGGCAGTGGATCTTTTCATAGCGATTCAAGTTATTGTTAAGCCTTCAGAATTTACAGTGGTAGTTTATTACAATTTATTACATGGACTGGATTTATAAAAGGGTTAGAGAACATTAATGTCATGTTTTGTGTACTTTGAAGTTATCTGTCTGAGACAGATCTTGAAAATAGTACATATCCAGGCAATTAAGAATATGGATTCTCTTTAATTGTCATTATATCAGGATTACATTAAGGATATGGTTCATTCTTCTGTACAAATCAAATTACAATGCTATCAATAGCATACAATACAGGATCCTGAGTTTTTCTGAACTCTTCTCGACTTTTATTCCTTATCATCAACACTATTGCACTTTTAGACGGTTTGATGCACAGCTCCTTTATCTATACTGTGAGGAAATGTTGTGTTCAGGATATTTACAAAATGAATATTCTCATATGCTTCATCTTAAATTCAGTTAATTGACTATGGTCCTTTTTCTCTCAAAATGTCAGAAGCTAATCGACACTTAATATTGCTGAAGACAGCCTTTTAAGCTGTGTTTTTTCAAGATGTATTTTAATCTTTTAAAAATGCATTAGTGTCTCCTTATTATCTCACATCTAGACAATTCAATCTTCAGTTTTAATCTTAGTCTTTAATCCACTATGTCTTAATTTTCACTTCAAACCCACTGCTGCTTTCTTAATATTTGCAAGGACTTCATTCTTGTTACATCTAGTGGCATATTACTAGTGAGTAGTATTTTTAGAGAAACAAAAATACTCCATACAGGGAGAAATAAAAAATGTTACTTTTCATAAGGAACAATATTGGGTTGTTGGAAGTCATGACGCCTTTTTGCTTAGAAAGACTGAACGATAAGTCATGACTTTTCAGACAATTATATAATGTTATACTATGTTTCTATAGCCCAGAATGGTCATAAAGTCCAAAAGACATTGTTATATAACAAATTTTTTTGCCTTCTCAGAACATTTCTCTTCATCTTCCCAGGCCATTTGTCTTTCTAAAATATCTCAGCATTCTAAATTTATTTACCTGATTCTTTTGAAATAAAGAACATTTTTCTAAAATGACAGTGAATTTATCCCTTTTGTTGTAAAAAGAAGCCAGGGATCGAATGAGGTAAAGGAAGAGTAGATAAGACAAGTTCGTTTTAAAAATAAAAAATCTTTTTCTGGTGAGTATGCTACATTCCAGAAAGTATAATCATGGCTATGGCTCTTTGTTACGATGGAAATCTCACAAATTTGACTGGACACTGTTAAAGAACAATTGTGACTTCTCAGCTTTCTAACAATTGTTTCATTTAAAAAGTGCTTTGGGAGCCAACGGTGACATGATGGTGAAGGCACTGTAATTCCTCATGACCAACCATAGTTCAAGTCCCAGGCCTGGTGGCTTGAAATACAGACTGGAATAATATACATGCATGCCCCAAAACCCCAAATCGAATGGAGAAAGGATTGTGGTGTAGTCATCGCCAGGGAGAAATTTCCTCCTTTCTCTCTCTCTCACTCTAGTAAGAGTATGTACCCTATGCTAGCAACCTAAAAATAATAATTCACACATACACACAAATACTTTGATTAGTTTTCTAAAATGAATGAGTAAGTCAAAAAATAATAAATTTCAAAGTTGTTGGAAGATTAAATGCAATATATGGTGTATGAAATGGTAGAAGATGTTTCCAGACCATTTATATTATAAGGAATTATTATACAAAAATATGAAGAATTTTATAAACCCAAAGAAAAATATCTGATTTGACAGGGGAAAAGGCCTTGTATAGACATTACTCCCCAGAAGACATACAGGTAACCAACAGGTTTGTATGAAAGTATGCTCGATATCACTAGTCATCAGGAAAAGGAAAATGGAAATACAATGAGATATTAATACTCCTCTCTTAGGAAAACTATTACAAAAAAAGAAAAAGCTAAGTGTTGATGAGAACTTAGAAAACCTGGAATTCTGTATACTATTGGAGGGAATGTGTTGGTGCAATCACCGTTTGAAACAGTATAAAGTTTCCCAAAAAAATTTAAAATAGGAGTATTATATGATCTAGTAGTATTAGTTTTAAGTATATATTTGAGAGAATAGGAATTGGGATCTCAAAGAAAAATCTGCACTCTCATGTACATTGAGGCATTATTGACAATAGCCAGTATAGAGAAAGATCCCAAATGTTCATCAATAAATGAATGGATTAAGAAATGCATGGCCTATACACATGAGGGAACTTCAAAAAGGCCACGGCAAAAATAGAATTAAAGGCATGAGTTTATTTTGGCCTAAAATTTTTTAAATTCATGAATAGTTTTTCACATTTTGCATTTTTCATAAACTTTTTGATAACTCTGCCTACAATGACAAATTATTCATTTTTTTAGAGATTTTCCTGAGAACATGTACACTTGTCAGAGATAGAGAGACAGGGAGAATGAGAGGGAAAGTGAGAAATCACCCCAAGGAGGTGATTGGTGGCCATGCCTCAATCCCTTCTCCTCCATTCTCCTTCTGGGATCTCTGGCATGCACACAAATGCACTTGACATGAGTTTCAAGCCATCAAGTCCATGACTTGAATCAGTCAGTCATGTGGAAGCCCACGATGCAACTGCTATGCCATCTGTTGACCTCAAGTTTTTGAAAGAATTCCTGCAATGTGAGACAACAGGGATGAATATGAAAGACATTATGCTGGCTAAAATGAGTCAGTTACAGAAAGACAAATACTCATGATTCAACCTAGATGAGATGTCTGAATTAGTCAAACCCACAGAAGCAGAGAACAATCAATAGAATGGAGGTTTCCAGGTACTGGAGTGATGGGGAAACGGAGAACTATTTTTCAGTTGCTATAAAGTTTCAGTCATACAAGATAAATAGATTCTAGAGATCTGCCATACATAATGGTGCCTATAGTTATCTACAATAGATTGTGTCCTGAAAAAAATTCAGAGGATAGATAGCATGGTAAGTGCTTTTACCAAAAAATTAAAGAAGGAGAGGAAGAAGAGGAAGGGGGGAGAAAAAATAAAGGAGAAGGAGAAAAGGAGAAGAAAGAAAAAAATTAAAAAAGAAAAAAAGCTTAATAGAGGCACAAAGACATTGGGAGATTGTGGAGATGTTTATTACCTTGATTGTGGTGATGAATTCATGACTGTAGCATATTTCCAAACTCATCAAATTAAATATGTGAAGATTTTGTGTATAAATTCTTTCTCAATAAAACTGTTAAAAAGAAAAGTATATACTAAGAAACTTAACAGTATCTCAAGAAATTGTAACTTGTACGCTATTGACAGGTCATGGCACATTCTGCAAGATAGCTTTCAGCCCCACACCCAAAGCTGATATTTTGTGAATCACATGTACAGATGTTAGTTCAATATCATTTAGAAAGGAGATTGAGTGCTTATGCACAGGTTCTTATACCAAAAACTATGTACTTAAACGTTTGATGTATAGATTTCCCTTTCCTACTTTCATACCTTTTCCCATGATTCTTTAACTAAGTATAAATTTAAATAGCTTTCCGTTGTCTTTTCCCTCCTGAAACAGAACATCATATTAAATTTTCTCTCCATTTCCTTACTTTTCTGAGTAAAGGTGAAAATATCTGCTATTTTTTCAGAAGATAAGAATTCTCTCATTTTTCTAATTTATTTGGGTCTTGTCCTCTCAGAAATCTTTCCCCAAGTGCAGTGTATGCAAAGTTGTGACAAAGATCAGTTTGCTTCCATGGGCTTTGTTCTCCTACCACCTTTCTAAATTCCTGATCTCCTATCACCTGACCTCAGGGGTTTGTTACTTAGGTGCATTTACTTTTCCACTCTGATAACCATTTGGTCTCACTCCCCAAGAAATAAAGCAGCTTTGAATGTTTCTCTCTTCCTTCCCTCCACCCACTTAATTTTATGCCAGTGCATACTTTCAACTAGTTATTGGCAAATATAAAGCAAACTTTTGAAAACAGAGCTATTCGTGTAGTCTTCTATTTGCCAGGCACCAGGTTAGGCTCTGTGTTATGAATATCATTTAATAAATGCTAAAATTATCACTGTGATACTTATATAATTCTTTTAACTCTTCTGGAAATACTTGTGTTAGCTATGTTATTTAATTGATGTAATTCTCTAAATTAGATTTGCCAAAGATAATTTTCACAAGTGCAGATCCCTTAGGACTCAGAGAGAGCTAGTAAATTTTAGTCAAGTACCATGAGAGTGAGATCAATCGCTAGCTGAGAAAGTAGGAAATAGAATAAATTTAGTCTCATGATTAAGAGTTTCATTTGATTTTACTTGAGGACCTCTTAGGTAATTAGAGATGTTTGTTGCACAATACCAACATCATTATCTATATTCCTCCATTATTGGATTATATATAATCACCTAATTTATATGCATCCATTATGATTTCTGACACGAAGTAGGATTTAAAAACTAGTAATCTAAGGGTTTACTTACCTCCATTATGGGTCTTATTTTTTGAGGCCATCTCTGACTATTTTGTGCATTATTTAGAAGAAAAGAATTTATGGTTCAGAAAATAGTAACTACTACTTGTCCTCAGCTACATTACTTATTTATAATGGCAGCTATGAGCACATTACTTATCTGAAAAATAGTCTCTAGGGTTCTTGCTATTTTTTATTAGTGAATGATTGGTTCCTCCTCAAGAGATTTTGTTACATGAATTATTCTTACTCAGTTTGCTTTTTAAATGTTCTTACAAATAACATGAGTCTTGTGGGTCTGGAAACATTAATCCTCCTTTCCTAAGGAACCTG